GCATTTATTGACTGTGGTTGGTGTTCGAGCCGCATGTTTCGGGCAGGGTCCATTCAGCCCTTGCTGAGCTGAGCCGTAAGGAGAAGCCGCTGAATTTCATCTCCCCACATGCTCTCAGGCACCAGCCACAGCAAAATAATTCCCTGGGGGTCAGAAGTAAGAGCTGGGGAGAGGGCTCAGGCCCTTGGCTTCTGGCCCCGGTGTTTCCCCCTCATTCTGCTTCCCGCAGTCTTGCCAGGCTTAGATGCAAAATTATCAGCAGAACGGTTTATAAAATGTCAAAACAGTTCCTATCATGTCAGCTGGACGATTTGTATAAATAATGCCTCTTTAAAGAATCTTCTGCCGGCTCGAACCTCCCTTTCATCTCTCTGTGATTTATTTTACGTTATTTTAATGGGATTTTAAAACAATCTCTAACGAAGAGAGCGAACGGAAAGTTCTGTCTGGCGAGGATGCTTGCGGCACGGCGTGGGGACTGCTGAGCCCGGGCAGGATCGCGTGTTTGCTGCCACCTGTCAGGTGTATGATAACAGTGACACTTTTACAGAGAAATTGAGAGTAATTTCCTCTAATGGTATAAAGGAGACGACTGCTCAAAACTGTTATTGCTCGACGGGTGAAGTCTGTGCATCGCTGCGCAACAAGTCGGAGAAATCACCTCTGGGAACGAAATATTTCAAAAAGTTGTATTTATTTCCTGAGGATTGCAAAACAGCTTGAAAGAGCAGAAGAAGTCGCCTCAGTTGTGTTTGTTCTGCAAAATAAACAGGCTGTCACCATGCCAGACATCCTCAGATGAGTATGGACAAATTCTGATTCTCTTTTCTGGCTGTTCTTTGGCACCTATTTCCTACAGAGTGCATTTATGTAAAAAAAAAAAAAAAAAAAAAAAAAAAAAGAGAGAGAGAGAGAGAGAAACCCCATGTATTTTCCATAAAAAGCAGTCTGCAGTGAGGAGTTTTCCAGATCTGATTCTCTACTGACAATTTTCTTTTGATAGTGGTTGAAACCATTTTTGGAACAAAATCTGGATTCTAGGAGTAATGAATTTTGTCTTTCAGTAAGGCTGTGCACAGACCGGGGGAAGCATTTCCCCCAGCTTTTCCCATCTGTGAGAGATACTGACTGCATTTCTCCACCATAGCTGCTGTGTACCCAGGGGGCAGGTGGAACGAGGCCCCAGGGGGAATTTTCAGCAGTGCCTGGGGAGCAGGACATCGCCGCTCCTGTCCAGCTCCCTGCAGCCCACAGAGCCCCAGCAAGGTCCGATTCCCCATCCTCTCCTCAAGGACAGGGAAACTGAGGCACGGAGCAGTGACGTGACTTGTCCTCAGGCACTAATGCCAGGCTCTGGAATCTCGTTTCAGCTCATTATTCACCCAGCCACAATCACTCTCTGTTAAACCAGATGTGACCCTGCTTCACATTCACATCCTCTCTCTGCTTTGCTTTCACTTCCTTTAAAGGCAAGGAACAGCCAGGAGGGGCATCCGTCTCCAGTCTCTGGGTCTCAATTTATCATCTTTTCTTTATTTTTTTTTCCTTTTTCTTTTTTTTTTTTCTTTTTCTTTTTTTTTTTTCTTTCTAGGTAAACGTTAAATTTCAGAGTCCCAGAAAAAAATCCCCCCACCTTTCCCAGCCCAGGGGTGGGTGCTGTGCTCAGGGACGCGGCCACGTCCCCACCGCGTGCGCACAGAGCGTGGCCATGGTGAGAGGTCGCCGTGCCATAGCCAAACCCCTGCTGGGCCCTGGCACAGGGCTCGGGGCTGGGCTGGTATCAGGGGTCCCCCCTGCATGCCCAGCCCAAGTGTCACACATGCTGGGGACAGCACGCTGACAGCCGGGGTAATGCCAGGAAACCCTGGACCCTTCCCATTTCAGAGCTGAGGTCTGCAGCCGGCAGCCCTGGCTGATGAGGAGCAGGTACCACTCTCTGGGTGTCCAGTGCCAGACATGGCTTTGGGGACCAGGGGGCACATGTCCCCTGGCAGAGGGACGGAGAGGGACGGCTGCACCCCTTCTGCGAGGCAGAAGGGTGCAAAAGGCAGGCAGGTAACACTGGGTGTCCCTCATGTCCAGGGTGCCCGGGCAGTGCTGCCTGCCAGGAGGCTGCTTTCTGTCCCTGCAAGTGTTCTACATCCCTGCCAGAACAAAGGCGGACTGTTGCTGCTGTTGAGTCACACGATAAGATCATTGTTACAGGATATATATTTTTTTTGCACGTGTATCACTTAGAAATATATATTTTTTTTTCTATAAAATCTGTTCTCTCCTCCACCCCCAATGTGAAAAGAGAATCTGTGCTCAGAGCCCTGCTGAGATTGCAGATAGACCATTCCCTTCCTGATCCTTATCTCACCAGGATGTAGGAGGATCCTCGGGGAATAGCTGGAAGCCTTTCGCTGGAGCCATCCAAGAAACAGCAAGCTGACTACAGCCTTTAAATGGCAAATCCATCAAGCTGTCGGGGACCAGGACCCGAAGCGTTTAACCCTGCTGAACTACGACACCCCTGGACTGTGCCACGCTGGATCGCTCCCCGGTGCCCACCCTGGCACCAGCGTGTGCGCTGTGCAGCGCTCGGAGCGCTGCAGGCACCAGGGAGCCGGCTAAATAGCAGGATCTAAAAATACACCTTTGAATCCTAATCTCGAACAAAGCCTTAAATTGCTGGCTCACAAACTTATTCCAGCTGCAGCCCGCTTACAGGCGGGTGATTTGGAGCGGCAGCAAATCCCCAGCTGAGTTCCTCGCCCCAACTCTGCAGGGAGCTCAGCCTGCGCCCTGCATCCTGCACCCGCACCCTGCACCGCAAGGCCGGCTGGATTGGGACTACAAGGTGCTGGGGAAACAAAGAGGGGGCAATGAATGAATCCTGCACCTCTGTGCAGCCAGGCCAAACATTTCTTACACACAGCTCCTCCTGCCGCCAGCTTCATCATCGCATGCAAAAAGGCCTGCTTCAAATCACAACTATTTTTATGAAACACAATATGCCGTGTTTGGCAGCAAAGGGGTCCAAATACTCCAAGCACATCAGCAGAAGGATTATACCCCACGGCAGGATATATTTATATGTACACACAGTCTAGACATCAGCAGAGGGCTGTCAGCCCTGCTGTACAGAGCTTTGCTGCCGGAGCTCAGCCGTGCGCTTCTCCAAGCCAGCAGCAGTGAGCTGCCGTCCTTCGCACAGCCCAGCCCCTCGGCAGCCCCACAGCTCGTGCTCATGGGAGCACAATTTGGGGCAGAAGTGAATGAGGGAGCCTGCGGGTCGGTGGCCGGGGTCGGACACGTGCAAGGAAATGGTGAGATGGGGATGAAGAGGTGTCTTCCACGCCACAGCACTCCCCGACCCAGCACTGGAGCCAGCCCCATTTGGCTCCTCTGTTTGGGGAGTGTTTAATCACTTTGCAAGCTGTACAAACCTCCAGCCCCGCGTTTCCTGGTGCGGGGGCTGCAGGGGGGCAGCGGGAGAGGAGCCGAGAGCCTGCGGGGCCGCAGCACCCGGGGCTGGGCAGGGCGCTCGGTGCTCGCGCGGGGCCACGGCGGGGACTCGTCCTCCCTTAGTGACAGAGGAGTTGCAACAGCCTGGCAACCTGGTTGCTTTGTGTTTAGGACAGGAAACAGATGCTGCCTGGTGGAGGAAGCATCTGAAGAAAATAAGCACGCCTTGTGCCTCCCTGGCAGAGACGCGGTGGGAACAGGGGGTGCGCGGGGCGGAAACGCCCCGGTCTGGCCCCGGTTGGGGCAGGTGCAGTTCAGCTGCATTTGACGGCATCGTCCTTGGCCAAATTAGTTGGGATGGGAAATCCCAAAGGGATTTTTCCCTCTGGATTTGTTTATGTTCCCTTAGAAGCACAGGGGCTGGTGCTCATCATGCGTGTGCTCTCGCCTCGCTCCGCTGACCGAAGGTCCCCCAGGCTGTGCCTCCCTGGGGGATGCGCTGGGGGGGAAGGAGCAGATCTGTGCACTGCCTCCTGCCGTGGGACTGCACAGCACAGAACACTCCTGGCCTTTTGCTTTGGGGCTCGGAATTTGACACAGTTATTCAGCGTGATCACTGAATAGGCAGCGGCGCTGCCAATCTCCCCGCTGCACAAAGCATCCCACAGCTCCCCAGAGTGCACCTCAAACAGCTGCACAGCCCTGCAAAGGCTCAGTTTGCTGCTGTGCCCAGCACGCTGCCCTATCCCCTCACAGCCCCTGCTGGGAACAAACAAGTCGCAGGGAAAAGGAGAAAGTTCTGAGGGCAAGGAAAGCCCAGGTTAGTTATGTACCTGTAGGGAACGTGACAGTTCACTAATCTCACCGTAACGCCTGCAGAAGCCTCTTGTGCAGCCCGGCCTGAGGGTCCTGAGATGATGAAGCTTTTCTCACCCCGCCTACGGCCTGGGAAATGTGGGCTCCGTGTGTCTCGCAGGCTGGGTGTGCAGCTAGACACAGCCACGCAGACAGCACGGGCACCGGCTTACGGGCGTTTTCTGCAACACGTCTCCAGTCCTCAGCTGCTGGAAGGACAGACAGAAGGACAGACAACAGCCTGCGTGCTGCTGGGACGAACAGGGTTACCTGGTTTTAGGCAGGGATGGAAAGCTAATGCCTTCTAAGAAAAAGGTGTAAAAAGATCTACTGCTGTTAACATTTACGGGCTGCTCTAAGCCAAACTTCATAAAGGCTGCTCATTTTCCTTCCTGCTCAGCTTTCCACAAGCGGGGGCTGCTGCCCTGTGGAGCTGGGTCGTGGTATTTTCAGGCTGTGCAACCCCCGCTGAGCCCCCACCTGAGGCTGGGTCCTCATTTTGTTGTTCTGCTTTTTGTGCAACCAGAAATCTGGCAGCCAGGAGCTGGCTTCTTGTTACGTCCTACACTACCCCGGCATTTACAGGGTCGTTTGCTCTGTGGCATCGTGCCAGAGCATTTCTTTGTAGCCTCACCAATTTGAGAGACACTTTCCATAAATAGATCTCAAAAGACGAAGCAAATACTTTTAAAGGAAGAACTGTTAGCAGGGGCAAAATTAGTGCAAAAGGTTAACGTCAGCTCTCCTGCCAACCTGCTGGATTCAACCAGCAGCGTGCTGCAGGAGCTTGACAGAGGGTTACAGCAGACAAAAGGGTGGATTTGGGTATTTTGGGGACAGTTCAGGATCAGCAGTTCCTGCTCTCCCCGGCTGTAGCTGATTGTGTCTGTTTGGGGGCTGTCAGCACCTTGTGCTGTACCTCAGGGTCAGCCTGAAGGTCTCCAGAGGTGCCTCCTGCCCCAGGACACGTCTCACCCCAGGAGATGGAGGGACCCCAGCCCCAGCACTGCTGACACGGAGCACAGGGAGCCACGGGAAGGCAGGAGCATCGTGCTCCAGCCTGGGAACCTTGGGCACCACCTGGCAGGACTCACAGGATCCCCCAAAAACCACTCACCTGGCACCATGCTTTTTATTAACAGAGCAAAGCATCTATAAACATGAACAGGATCAATTCTTCATCCACACCTGTTGAGTTACCACTCTTTTCCAAACTTCAAAACCCTTTTGCTTCAGAAATGCAAAGTTTTTTTTTTGTTTGTTTGTTTCTTAAATTAATTAGGATTCTGAACTAATCACCTCACTGCTCAGTTAGCTTAACAGCAAAATGCAAGCACAATTACAGTTCCAGAAGGCAGAAGCTGATAAATACACCCCTGTGCCACATCCCCTTGCTTGCTGCTCCCCGGCCGTTTCGGTCGCACGCAGCCCGGACACAGCCCCGGCGCAGGACTTGCTCAGATCACGCTCACTCGCGTTTGCTCTGCCGTGTGCTCCGCGCTAGAAATGACCAACTCTGAGTTCTGGAACAGAAAGTAAGTCCTCAGAATGAAAGTGCATGTTTCTTTGAACTTCTCTATCTTGAAGGCATAGACAGCGGGGTTCATGGCGGAGTTGGCGTGCGACAGCAGGATGCTCAGGTACACCAGGCTCCGTGGGATGGTGCAGGAGGGGCAGAAGTGCAAAACGCAGTTCAGGATGCCCAGAGGCAGCCAAGACACTGCGAAGAGGAAGAGAAGGAGGGCCATGTATTTGGCTGTTTTGTACGCCTTCGGATAAACCGTTCCTCCATCTGGAAGCCTTGCTGAGTTTTGGCTTAATTTTGTCCGCATTATGTGAAAAATCTTGGCGTAGAGGGTACACATGATAAGCGAGGGGAGGAGGATCCAGGTGAAGAAGCTGAAGTACACCACGTAATCCTTTCTCATCACAGCCAGAAAGTGGCACTCGATGTAGCTGGAGCCACCCATGTGCTGGTTCCACCCCATCAGGGGGACCAGTCCCACCAGCACAGACAGGAGCCAGCAGAGTCCCAGAATCACACAGACTCTTTTCTTTGTGATGGTTGCCTTGTACCTGGGTGAGTAGGAAGCAGGAGTTACATGGGATTCTTCAGAAAAAAAGGAACTACAACATTCATGAGTTTGTGCTTTTAAGCACTCCTTTCTGGTTGGCCTAATTAGGGTTAAGCACAGTGCTGTGCAGCCGGTCCTTAGCAGCTTCTGATATTCAAAATGCATTTTGAAACTACAGAGGAACGTCCACATCACCAGCGATCCTTTGTAAATGAGAACCCCAAGCCCCTTCCTCACCTACACCACTTCATTTTCACTCATCTCAGCAGAGCTGCGTGGCTGCCTCCCGGGGCAACGCCTAAAACCCACCACCTCAGCCAGACCTCGGGCACATACCCATTTCTCAGAAACCCTTTCCTAACTCTCCATAGCTGAAGATTTATTTTCAGGCACTGCCAAATTCCCAGGAGTGCCCAGCCCGCTGCTGTTCCATTGCCTGCACTCTGGGAACATCTGCACTTGCACGAGTAGCTCTGGAGAAACGAAGGTGCTGAGGAAAACCCTGCAATGCTGCAAGCAAGGGAGAAGGAAAACACCCAGGAGGACAGAAATAGGGAAAAAGATGCTGAGATGGGACCTTTGCTGAGGCTCACCTGGTAGGCAGCTTCACTCGCAGGTACCGGTCGATGGTGATGGCCAGGAGAGACAGGATCGAGGCGTGGGGGAAGATCATCAACAGGCAGCATATGAACAAGCAGGAGTAGAAGTGCATGACAACTCCTAGGATCACCGTGATGGCCAGCGGTATGACAAGGATCCCCACAGCAATGTCAGTGAGTGCCAGGGAAACAATGTAGAAGAAGGTGGTCTTCTGAAGAGCCGGGTTCAGCTTCACTGCCCAGATCACCAAGGCATTGCCCACCACCGCACATATCCCAATAACAACCTCCACCATGATATAGATCACATCCAGGCTGTCTAATGTCATCGTGGACATCCGAGACTGTGTCCACACTGAAGAAAATGATGTGGTCAACTGTCGTTTTTTGGCTGTTTTTTTTTTTTTTTTTTCTCTCTCTTTTTTTTTTTTTTTTTTTTTTTTTTCCACCCACCCCCCACAGCCAGGTCAAAACCCAGCTCCTCTCTGATCTGCCCTGAATTAAGTCCCTCGGTCAGAACTTTGCCCTGTCTGAAGTGCGTACAAAACTCACCGTTTCAGGATGAGCAGACCAAACTGTTCATAAAGAAGCATATATCATGTCTTTCATCTCAATTTCTAGCAGCTTTCTTTCTGTCTTCCTGAGGCTTTCGCACATTTACGCGTGCTCCTCTGGAAGGGTCAAGGTAAAACAGTGGCATCATCACAATATTAACAAACCACAGGTGCTACTTCTGCATATAATTCTGCTCGTCTGTTTTAACCACTAACAGAACCTCCCTTCCCCACGTGGGCTCGATGGGTGAATTAACCAAAGCACAGCTACACCCTGCTGCAGTCAGTGTGCTCCTGTCTCTACGTTTCTCTAAAGCTTGCTCATTCTCTATTGCCTGCTGCGTAGGTGGAGCATCAGAGAAAATAGGGCCAAGGGATCTTGGCTGATCTAGACCATTCCTCTGCCACAAAGAAGGCACCTGGGAGGGCAAATAGGAAGTCTGGATTTGGGGCAAATGAAGGCAAATGGAAAGGTAAATGTCTTTCTTTGACCTGGTCACACAAGATGCTCCCCTGAGGCCCCATGCAGAGCTGGTTTTTTCTCAGCTGTTCATAGCAGGCACCAGAGGTGAGTGGCCCTCGTTAAGGTCCCTATAGCTCTGACATCAGCATCGCAACAGGCACCCAGCCACAACGAATGCCACAAGGGGTAGGTGACAAAGAAAGAAAATTAGCAGCTGAAGTTTGAAGGGGAAATGCACCAGTGCAGGAAGTGGGGAACTTTGCCCAAACACCCCCAGCAGCCAGGAGGACACAGACTTTTTCCACACCTGCTCGAAACTGCAGCATCAGCTGCCTGCCCCTGCTCAGGGACTTCTCAGAGAAGCAGCTCACTGGGCTTGCAAAACCTAGCACACATCCCAACTACAACCTCACACACACCTCTGCTGGCATTCATCTCCTGCACCCAGGGCTACCCCGTGTCCGGTTTTCTTAGAAAACCAACACCTCCCAGTTTGCTTGCAGACCTGGGCTGCCCATGGGTGGGTTCTTCTTCACCATTTCCCCAGCAGCAATTGCACCAGAATGGCTCCCAGTCGGGGGGCACCAAGTCCGTACGTGGGTTTCAGGGAAGCAGAATTTGGCCAACCCTCTTCAGGGCAGAGAAAGAAGTGTCATTTATTTCTGTCTCTGTCTTCTCCCAGGGTTAATTTCACTTCCCCAGTCTCAGTTCTGCCAGAAGGCTGGGTGGCAGAGATGGGAGGACGCTGTGTCTGGGAAACAGCGTGTTTTCCCCATCTTCCACTCTTACATGGGGCCCTGCTGCACCAACACGGCGCCACACCGCCTCATCATCCACCTGCTGCTGGCTTGTTCTTGGAGTGCACTCACTGCCACCTGCCCGAGATGGGTTATCCTGGGGCTCAGGCTGCCCCCAGCTCATGTTTGCTTCTCCTTGGCTCTGTCTCGAGGGGTCCGCAGCTCCCACCACGTCTGCAATCACTGCTTTCCCACACTCCCCCCGCTTCCCATCACATCCCACACGTTGCCTTCGTTCCTCTGCGCTCCATAAACTAACCCTGGCCTTTCTTTCACTCTTTCATTGCGAGGAGGCCTCTCCATACCTGTTGCTCTAAAGACGGGGCAGAGCAAGGGAAAGCATGCCCCTCTGAACATGGCAAGGATGAACATGGCGTGCTGGCACTTCCACTGAAAAAACGTCACTGGCATTACAGCAACGATCTTGTCACACTGGGAAAGGTCTGAGTAAGGGAACTCAGCCGTCTTGGGGCCTTAACTGATCTAATATACCCTGAATTAAGTAACTATTGGAATTTAGCTTAATGCCCTTCTACAGTCCCCCAAACAGCCTCATTTCCTACAGTGACTACAGAGAGATTATCTAAGCTGATAAGTGGCAGCTTTGCACGGTCAATTCTGGTTACAGCTCTCCCACTTCTAAACCCGTGGCTAGGAAGAGGAAGCAGTTCAATTATTTGTTTGCAGGTTGCTGGTAAGCAGTCTTGAGAGAACTTTTCATTTTTTTCCTTTTCAAAGTAGCTTTCCAAAGTACTTTACAGCTACCAGGCTGCCAAAGGGGTACAGTGAGCATCAGGAGACGTGTCCGAAGGGGAAAATCTTTCCTGGATGCTGAGATATCTGCAGCCCCGTGGAATGGAAAGAGCTGAGTTGCTGCCCAAGTGCTGAGGATGTGAAATTCTGGGGGTTTGCCCGCCGGAACGTCACTGGAAGAAGCGAGCGGTAGGCACCGCGGGCAGACCCTGCGGGAGGCCGCTGGTGCCCATGTCCGCCCTCCGCAGCTCGAGCCAGGGCAGGAACGACCCCAGCGACGTGCTGACCAACACCAGCCAGGTGCTGAGCCAGGTGCTGGGCAGCATGGATGCCATTTACATCGGGGCCGAGTGCCTGGTGGCTTTGCTCGCTGCTTTGGGTAACATCCTGGTCATCTGGGTGGTGAAACTGAACTCAGCCTTTCAGAACACGACCATGTACTTCATCGTCTCCCTGGCGCTGGCTGATATCGCCGTGGGGGTCCTCGTCATCCCCCTGGCCATCGTGGTGAGCCTGAAGGTCAGCATTGACTTCTACTCCTGCCTGTTCATGTGCTGCCTGATCGTGATTTTCACTAACGCATCCATCCTCTCCCTCCTGGCCATCGCGGTCGACAGGTACCTGCGCGTGAAGCTGCCCATCAGGTGAGTGCTGCCTGTCCCAGGCACCTCCTCTCACCCACTCCTGCACCGTCCTGCACCCAGCCCCTGCCCCTTTCCAAACATGTTTTTATTGTAGATGCGTGCTTGTGGATAGAGAAAGCAGCTGTCCCTACCCGCCTGAGGCAGGACCCCCGCTCGGCAGTTAATGCAGCACAGGCAGACCCCAAGGGGGTCCATGCAACACGGGTAGCTGGGTGCTGTTGCCGGTCAGAATTCAGCCACAGGCTGAGTCTATGGTCAAACAGTTCACTTCTTTGGGTGTTTTGTAATTGTGCAGGATGCTGAAAGTACTGTAAATTTCTTTGGGTTTCTGAGGATAGTCTCCTAAATACAGTTTCTTGTACTGTTGGCTGAATATACAAAAGAAGTAACAAAGGCTTATGAAGGGCTGATTTACGAAGTCTTTCACTTTCTATATTTGAAGGGAAAAAGCATGTAAGCTAGAGATGTAAATCATAATTTCAAGCATGAAAAAGGCCATATTTCTGTGGGGAAAGGATCTACAAGAGTGAAAAAGCAGTTTGGTCTTACAAATAGTATAAACCAAATACAGAGACTAAGAGACATCCAAGAAAGTTGAGAAAAGACAGGACTGCTAGTAGTGGAAATATATATTATATACTATATATATAAAATAAATAAATATGTATGGAAATAACCAGGCAAGAGGAACCCTAAGATCTTAATGAAACAAGGAATAAGATAGCCTGAAAACTGATAGAATTATAAAGAGGGGAAGTTAAGCACAGTACGTCTTGTTCAAGTGCTGCAAAGTAACTGTTACAAATGAAGAGCAAAGGCTTATCTCAAGATAAGGTTTTCCCTCCAAAGAAAAGGAACTCAGTACTGCAGTTTGTCATAATGAACTTGTAGTATTTGAACACGAGTTCTTGAAACCATCCTTAACTATTTTAAGCACTTCTGTTTAACATGAGCTGGGTTTTCTTCCTCAACAGATATAAAATAATCACTACAGAAAGAAGAATTTGGTGGGCACTGGGTTTGTGCTGGTCTCTCTCCCTGCTGGCAGGATTAATCCCCATGTTTGGATGGAACAGGCAAAAAGAAAGGAACGCTGACTCTCAAACATGCGAATTTGTCTCTGTGATGAGGATGGATTACATGGTATATTTTGGGTTTGTGACATGGACCCTTGTCCCTCTGACCATCATGTGTGGTCTGTATGTTGAAATCTTTTACATCATCAGGATGAAGCTAAGCCAAGGTGTAAGCAACGTGAGAGGGGCAGGAACATTTTATGGACAGGAGTTCAAGACAGCCAAATCTCTAGCACTTGTTCTCTTCCTGTTTGCAGTATCCTGGTTGCCTCTGTGCATTATAAACTGCATCTTCTATTTTTACCCTGAATGTAATATCCCCAAGCACTGGATTTACCTGGGAATCTTGCTGTCCCATGCCAATTCTGCCATGAACCCCATTGTCTACGCTTGCAGGATAAAAAAGTTCAAAACCACTTACCTTTTAATTTTAAGGACCTATATCCTATGCAAAAAAAGCCCAACAACACCAGACCCAGTCCTTACAGAACAAACACCTCAATAGTCATAAATATAGAATGAATGTTGGCTCATCAGTGTATACCGGACCATTGATAAAATGCTTTAAAAAACCCATGGGAATTTTACCTACAGTCTTACACAAACTGTTTTATGATAAGGGCAAACCCCTTCTACTCTATCTGATGTACATTTGACATTAAGCCTAAAAGGATCATCCACAATCTTCTGCATTATTATACCCCAGCAAATTCTGCTTGACTGTAGCTGTACACCAAGCCCAGACCTTCCAGACAAGAATCTTCATTTAAGAGCACCTTCTAGTTTTTACTTATTGGCTTGAGCATTATTTGGCAGACCATCGACCCAAAGCACTGTTAACAAGGCAGATTTTTTCCTCCTAGTTCCCTAGGTCAAATTTATGGCCAGCTGGTAAACACAATTCTTGTTAATTTCTAGTTTTAAATCTTTTTGTCCAGTTACAGGCCCTTTACTTGCACACAACCACACTTGCCCCCGACGTTTTGTTCCAGCAGCATGTGTTCAATAAGGCTATAGCACCTTGTGCAACACCTCCACCTGTGGATGAAAAACTGCATCACGAAACTATCCTCACTGTGGGTCCCACTGCTGACCGTCTCAGCTGAAAGGACAGAAGCTGAACTGCCTTCGGTGATTCTTCTTTGGGGAAGATCCTGTCGTGGGAGTCTTTCATTATTTGGAAATCAAGATAGTGCTCATCCCAGAAGCCTGAAAAATGGACCTCAGACATGGGGCACCAGGCAGGAGCTGGTGCAAGAGCTATTGAGAGATGGGATGTGCTGTGGATAGGGGAGCATGCCAAGAGGAGGTAACTGACAAAAAAATTAAATAAATAAACTAATGATATCTTTAGGTTATTCCCTCCTCCCCCAGCTCCCTTACCAAGGATAGAATCAACTATTCCTATACCATCAAGTCTGCATTTTCTTAATTTGTTACTGAAAAGCATCCATTTTGGCGATTTTCCTGCACAGCATATTCCCATGATCTGTTCTCCCTACCCACCAGAAACTGTTTTCTTAACACCTGACATAAATGCAGTTTGTTGCAAATCTCCTTTGCAAACCAGTTGCTCTGAACAGTTTCTTTTTGCAGCCTGTTACAGATCTGAAGATTTACTCTGAACTGAATCCGAAGGTGTATGTAAATATGTCTATATACGTATTTATTGTATAATTTCAAAATACAGAAGAGACTTCAGACAAATTTTGTCCATTTTTTTCTCCTGCAAGGGTTGGCTGGGTCTACTGAAAATAGGATAAATGTTTTTTGTTGTTGGTAACACAGCAGCTCGCAATGCAGGCATGTTGTCACTGACGACTCTTACCTCCTTTGTCTTCTGTACAACTAGACGATAAATTCAAATCTGGTCAACTTGTGCTGCTGTCACTGTGCCACATTATAATGAAGGACAATAAATATTATATGGATTTAATGTGAACTCAACCTGCTCTTCTCCCTGACAACCTAAAAAAAAGCCTGCACGAAATCCCTGCACTGCTTTGGTACGAGTCCTCCCTGGGACAGCTCAGAAATTGCAGTAAATATTACACCATAGTTTGCACAGCCTGCTTTTAGGGAACATGGGTCAGGCTGAAAATAGATCTTTGGAGACAAGGCTATTTTTTTTTTTTTTTAATCTATCTTTAAATACTAAAAGTGGTCTTAAAAAAAATAATAATAAAAAAGCAATGCACCATTCTGTGTTACTTGGTTCAGTAAGCTGAAAGGAAAAACGTTGGTGTCTGTTCCTCTAGCTAAGATCAGACATCTCGGTTTATATCTGATGTAATCCTTGTCACAGACCAGAACTGCCCTGTTACACAGTTTCACTCTATTAATAAACAAGCCAGTGAAGGAAGTACATGAGTACATCAGAATTTTGCTACATAATCTCTCTTTATCGGTAGATGGAACCGATTGCTTTCAGCAGAAAGAGAGGCCCCAAACAAGCAGCAGAAAGCTACGAATAGTGCAAAGGCCAACTTCGCTCCCTGCATTTCTTACAAAGTGCAAAACCAGGGAACATCCCAGGCACCGCAGACGGAGAAGGAGAAAGCCCAGAGGGCTGGGAGCGGGGGAAGCCCACGGGAGGAAGGCAGGCGAGCATCCCCGGGGGATCCCAGCTGGCAGAGGGGGGAGCAAACAAAAAAAAAATAAAATCCCTGCAGGTCGGGGAGCCCCGAGCTCGGGCTCCTGCTGCCCCCCAGCGGCACGGCCCCGCCGCACGGAGCCTGCCCGAGCCCGGGGACCCGCTCCCCGCATGTCAGAAGTGAACCAAGGGGGAAGCGGGCATTTGTGTTATCACTCCTTAGTCCGGTTATTAGCTAATCAGAGCAGCTGGCAGTGCAAAAGGCAAGAAAAATGCTCTGGTCAGTGACTGAGCAAAGAAATAAGGGCTCAGACGTGAACGGATGCAGAGAAACATTCCCATTTTTTAGTTCTCTTCGGCCATTCAAAGCAGCAGCCAAAACACACGGAAACTTCACAAGTTTCTTTACAACCCTACAGAAACTTCAGAAACTTTACAACTCTACGAGGAGCCACTGAGATGTCTACAGGTGAGGAAGCTCAGTGCAAAAAGCAATCTGTCTACAGCCGTTGGCAAGGAGGCAGGAACAGGAGACGTTATTTTCCCCTCACAGCCATAAAATCAGCAGACGTTACAGATGTCAGTGTTGTCATTGCGTAGAGCTCTACAGGCCTTGATGCAATGCTGGTGGCAGCGTTTGATGTGCAGGAAGCGCAGAGGTCTTCGTTCCACCAGAAATTTCATCATCACACAGGCCTCACTTTCGGCCTGGGCTGGATGACCACAGTGGCGTAGGAAACCTCATCCTGGGGACGTGAAAAAATTTACAAATATTGGAGAAAGTGCAAGTGTTACATTTCAGCACAGATTTCTTTTCTTTTTTATTTTTATTTTTTTAAATTTGTCCTTAATGCTACGGTCCGTGGTCGGTCACAGCCTGCCCCTGCACATGGGAAAGCCACCAAGTGTGGTGCTGGATCAGGGTGGTGAGCCCAGCTCGGGATCCTGGCTTGGGTCTCAGCGTTTGGGGCTTCCAGAGAATTGACATCACGAAGGAGAACTGCAGAAATGCTTGCCCCTTAAGAAGATTTTCTCCTGAGCTCCCTAATTAGTACTTTGGTTGAACTTGAGTCCCTGGAATACATGTGGAGTGCATGACAGAGAAGGGTTAGCTTTCCTCCTCCTGCCTAGGCACCTAAGTGGCTCCCAGAACTACTACAAACAGCCTCCAATGCACAGGATGAATCCCTTTTCCTTAGTCTTAGTCCTCTAATACTTGAGTCTGCAAGAGCAAACCTCTTCTCTCTCCCAAAATTAGCATTTACAACTCTATCAGGAACTTAAAGTCTGCATAAAATAATAGGAATAATAGTTTTGACCTTTACCTGGACGTTTTTAGCAGATTCCTCGCGTGGTACTTGGGAGGGAGCTTGCTCTTGTAAATTTTCCTGGGATCTCTTACGCTCTGGAAAGGAGAATAAAAGTCTCTGCTGCCTGTCCTGTGCTTGGAGAGAGCAGCACAAGGCGCATGAGCCAGGCATCAGAGTGACCCCAGGGTGCACAGCTCAAATGTGGCTGGTAAGGTGGGGAAGGGAGGGGAGGGGAAGAAGGAATGCTGTGGATTGGGATCAGCTGGGTGGAAGGGTGACTTATTCTCAACACCTTTCTCTAGTTACTTATTTAAAAGATAGCAAATTCTTAGTCCACGCTCCCTGTGACAATCATCATTTTAAAGGCAAAACAACAGAATCCCTGCTCTTTCTCAGAACTTAGGATGTTTTAATTACAGGACTGAGGAACAATCAGCACCCAGTGAATTAGTCTGTCCTGGGTGCAGGACAGTTCATTTCTCTCTTCCTCTTCTGGTGCAGGGGCACTGAGGTTTCTCTGGTTGTCATTTTCAGCACAGAAAGAGGAATCACCTGTGATGCCCTGTCCGTTAGCTCCACAGTTCCTTCCTCACAGCCCTTGTCTGTGCTCAGGTTAAATTTTCTGTGGAAAGAGCTCTTGGGATGATTAATAGTTACTGCCAGGAGCAGTGGTTCATCAAAACTTGAATGAACTATACAAGGGGACACAATCCAAACCTGTTTCTAAAGGGACGCTGATACAGAAGTTGCTTTAAAGCTCTCCTGCTTGAAGAAGCAGCCTGAAGAGCATGGAAACCTAGCACCACCCATATTCAGATGTAGAGCACGACACATTAACCACTTCCCTGCTGCCAGGGCTGAATCATCAGGATGCTGTCGTTTCCTCTACGGTGTCACTTACTTTTCATCAGGAGGTAGATGACTGCGAAAACTGTAACAGTTGACAGGATCCCAGAGACAAAGGCTAAGGCTAAGAAGAGTATGTCGCGGCTGCCGATGCACAGAAAACAGTGTCAGAATCACCAGTTTTTAAGGAAGTGTTAAAGAATCATTCTCAAATTCTACAAAGCTTATATCTCATTTATGCCAAGTCCCATGAGATTAAAAGGTGCGTATCTGCGGTAAGTACCACTATGAGTTAAATATCTAGAGCCCAGACTAGAAAAATTCTAAGCAAACTTGTAAGACCCTGAGACATAAATTGCATTACATCCAGCTCCCCCCTTGCAGCAGAGGTTTGCAGTTTCAGGGAACTTGGAGCTTAAAGTCAGGAAATAAAAGTGAAGCATTTACTTATCAATGAAGGATTTGCCTTCTGAATCTTGTAAGGCAGCAGTGGAGGTATATACAGTGGTATGTACAGTGACAGTAGTGGAAATGGGTGCTGGTGTAACTGGAACTGTGTACGAAAAAAAAGTTTTAAAAATGTGTTAATATTTCCTGTACAATTACAAGCAACAAGTACAACGTAGAAGAGTGTGCCTACTCAGGAATTACTGACAGATAATGCAAATAAATATTCTAAGTATAATATTTACTTATCAGAGGGCCGAAATTGAAAATACTATGTAGAAAAAAACTATTCACATTATTACTGTTCCATGGCAGCCTTTGGGAGTAATGCAGTTCTTTCCCAAATGCATGCATCTGCAAGGCTGTCCACACAACAGCCATTTCCAAGTCAATAAAACGTCAATTTAGTCCAGAATGCTGGATCTAAGAAAACTCCTTTAATAAAGAAAATACCTGGTTTTACTTTTGAGGAATAACCTCCTCCCATTCTCTCCAAACACTAACGAACAGCAAGAGAAGCTAAAGAGAGAGAAAAAACTTTGTTTATACATATGCACACACACACACAAAACAAACCTGACATCCTCATCTATTGCACAGACTTTATTAATAGTCTTTATCAGTGTTTCAGGCATCTTGCACAAAGTGGCACAAAGCCAAGCAAACAACCTGGAGATTACTCGGCACGAATCCTACTTCCCAACGTCTTCCAATGCAGGAGTTCACACTTGCTCACTACACTTTGATGAACGAGCCGTCTTCTCTAAAAAGGCTGGGGGTGTATTTCATGTTAAACTAAAAAAGCTCCCACAGTATTATTTTTGCAGCAGCTAGAACGCAGTGAACTCCATGAAAATTTCCACAATCAGATAAAATTGATAAAATATCCCTTTAAGTTTTTCTTTTCTCAAGATTTTTTCAATAAAATAATAATTAAAATATTCTTCTAAAATTTGGGGGCTGCAAGCTAAAAGACGGAAATAGCAGTCTCTACTAGGAAAGTCTTGCCCTATTTCTCATCGCGAGGCTTGCAAACTGCACGTTGCGAATAACATCCATGTATTGCTGGCAACATGAAAGCAAACCCCGTTCTCTGTTGCTGTCACCTTTTTCTATTACACACCCACCGTATGCCCACATTCCGTAAGTAAAACCTCCACGTATCCTGTACCAAGTCTAAAAGCGCATTGTGCTAGCAGCAATAGAAACATTGACGGCAAGTGATACAGCTTCACCTTACCTCACGCCTTAAAGATCCCGAAGCTTTAGCACCATTTGCACCAAAGTACTTGCTTCGTGAAAAGAATCTATGCCAAACTAGCAAAAACTTGAGTGTCATTCAAATTTACGGTTGCACCAGTGAGGAAGTTGAGCAACTTCACTTTTTTTTTTTTTTCCCAAGCAGGAAACAATATGAAAGACACCTTTTATTTTCAAGAAGTGTTGAACTGAAGAAAAAATCACCTTTAGCTTAAATTAGCTTGCTTTTGCCTTTAGGAGTACGCTACCTCTAAATAATATCATGTCAGTTTGTTTGTTTGTTTTTTGCTGATGTGTTGTATTGAAAGGGAAAAACTGAAGAAAGTTCTGGTATTTTATTAACCCCACTTAAAACATTTCCTTACTGTAGTAACAATCTATATTAAAAAAGGTGCATCAGCACATTCTAGTCTGTTTACTTAAGTTTATTTCTGCATAAATCACTTTCCAATGTAGAAAGGATGAGATTATACATAGGTACGTGCTCTGCTGAGACACAGATTAGACATACACCACCACCCCTGGGCAAAAAAAACTTTCCTGGAAAATTAAAATCTTACACTATATATTATTATAATAACCAAAGTATTTTCCTTGTTATACATAATAAAGAGAACAACTTTTTTTCCTATGAAATTTCAGGATAAAATCTTCTAGAGAAAACTTATCCATTCACTGTTTTAATCTTTATACTGGCTAATGGAATGGGAGCTAAGTTTTAGAGTAGCTTCTGATACGCTTCCTGCCAGCCACATCCTCTTTTCCACAGAACAGGAAGGTACTTGTGTCATTACTTAATGCCTTGTTACATGTTTTGTGGTTTGTTTACAAAAAGAAAACATGAATTCCACCCATCTCCAAGCCTTGGACAGTTCAGACGAGGTGAATGGGAGCACTAACAACCATTTTGATTTTAAAACTCGTTAACAGTTATGGAAAATAACTGTAGGGCATTATCATGGATGATTCGAAACCAAAAACTGATGAGTGTATTAGCACCACAGCAGCCAAATTCTGCGTCTCCATCAGGACCATAGAGAACCATACAGGAACCATGCGGAGCTGCACAAATTGTGGTCGAAAGTAACCCGCCACTACAATCTCATTTCAGTGGTTTGTTTACATTACTGATCAAGCTACTACAAAGACAAAAAGGAAATCACCGTTACTACTGGCAGTCAAAGACAGGAAAGTTTTTTGTGGGTTTGTTTTAATGACATTTTAGAATCACAGAGTTTCCAACAAAAAGTCAGAAGACATGTCAGTGCAATCAGCTGCTACAGGGTTACACTGCCACCTGTGCACTCTTTGATAACGCTTTCAGGTCCGAAATGCACTTTGCAATACTCTCCTTCTGCTGCAAAAAGAAAAGAAAAAAGCTTTCAGGAGAACGACTTTTTGAAGGACAATTAAACAAGCAAAAGAGGTATTCTAATGCATTTTAGATTTTCTCTTTAGACACACAAAATGAGTTTCAGATTAAAAAGGGATATTGCTACAGCTCATGAAAGCACATTCAGATTCCAGTAATGATGAGCACCTACAAGCAGAACTAAATGAATGATTTGTTGTTAGCAGGTTCATTCCTTAGAAGAAAGGACATCCAGAGTCCATCTGTAGATCTTAAGCTTCCATGGTCTTACACGGAGAATTTTAGAAGTAAATTCCCTGACCTGTTCGCTACGTTTTATCACAAGCTGAGCTCTATGGTGCAAGAACAAATACCACAAATGTCTAGCTCAATTCACCAGCAACGTGAGCATCTTTTATCTGATGTCTGGGCTTGTTGGCTTTTAGACAACAGTAGGAATGCACTGCAGCCATGCTTGGAAGTCACCCAGAGATGATCTAGCATTTTCTGACTAAAGACAGAAGCACTGTACAGCACCTATGTTTATAGTCTAGAACATAAAACAGACGAAAAACCAACAAAAAAAAGTACCTGTTGAGGTGTGATGCTCTGAACAACGTTCTTCTCCACCCACTGAATCATGTGATCTTGTTCTTTTTGATGCTTTAGATTCTGCATGGCCACTTGATAGTCCAGCCTTTTCTTTACTTCATTGTACACCGTTAATAATCTCTCTCTGTAATTGGCTTCCAGCAGCATCGCAATGTTATTCTAGGCACAGAAGACGAAATCAGTGGATTACACTCGGCAAAAATACAGAACAGCAGAGCACAGTTTCACAAAGCCATCAGATCAGGTGGTGGAACTGCCCCTGTCTGCAACACAGAGCTTGGAAGTGACTTATTGTTACTTGTTAGCAGTCCAAGAGGCACCTGGATTTTGTCATGGAGGCAGCAGTTAAAAGTGAACAGTAGAGCTGAAACTGCATACCCGCTTGGCATCGAAGAGGTAACTGCGGCCTTCAGCTCTCCACTGCTCCTTTTTCTCCTGCTCAATGGCAGCCTCAAGATCTTTAATTGAATTATTTTTAATATCTGTAACTTTAGCAATTTTCTCCTGGAAGAAGAAACAAAAAAATATGCTTCAGAATAAAAATAAGATGCAAAGAATCAAGTGATTTGCAACTATCTTCTGATCTTTTGCATTATAAATTGGGAAATGTCTGCATCAGGATGAGCTGTGTCAAGTTTGAGATTAAAGGATGGCAATACAGAAGAATTAGTGTTCACAATTAACCATACTTAAAAAAATAATTACATTAAATATTTGTTCTTGAATAAGGTGGTATGCTTTCTCTTTTTTTGGAAGGCCCATGTAACAACACAGACAGAAGATCTAAAACATACCTTAAACATATGAAGATACTGGGCTCAGATTTTATTACAGCCAGGACATATTTAAGCTGGTTAATTAGAAGTTTTTAGATACTGCAAAGTTGGATTATGACTTTTTTTTTTTTACCTCATTAAGTTTGTCAGCAAAAGCTGCTACATCAGCCCCATATTTTTTAATGCCGTAAATGATGACCGACAATATGCAGGCAGCTGCAACTGTCTCATGGTTAACTACATAGATTTCCTTAGAGAGAAAGTAAAGCAGGAGTCCAGTTCCCAACATGTAAGGCCCTAAAGAAAAAATAAAGCAGCATTATTTGAACAAAATATAAAGTGGCTTACTGAAGTCAAACACATAAAATGTAAATAGTTTAAGATCAGGAAATGTTCTCTTGTACCATGACCAAGAGCAGAAACACATAATCATAGAATATCCCAAGCTGGAAGGGACCCACAAGGATCATCAGTTCTACCTCGTGGCTCTGCACAGGACCACCTAAATATCAGACCATGTCTGACAGAAAGCTGTCCAAACACTTCCTGACTTTTCACTTGGTCTCCTTTGGATGCTCTCTAATAGCTTTATGTTTTTCTGACATTGTGGCACCCAGAACCACACACAGCATTCCCACAGAAACCCAACACCACCAAGAGGGAGGTTGCAGGAAGGTGCTCGCCACAAGCGCAAAGCAAGTCGCACCTTCTACAGGACCTGCAGCTTCTGCTCATTCAAAAACATCTATGTTTACTGGCTTTGAGGGCTGGCCATCATTCAATCTTTTTGCAAGATCATGCTCATGACATAATTTTAGCACTTGTTTAGAGCGCAGGTGCTGAAGTTTAAAGTCAAGAAGCGCTGTGCTGGCTCAATCCTTTTCTACATACACAAAAGCGTCTGGTGCAGGCCATTGAGCTGACCGGGCTCTTCTAAGACACTTTAGTCTGAGAACTACCACACAGGCTTTCAGGTTATTATAACTCCCATCTCATGTCTGAAGAACAAAACTCAAAGATTCCGAGCCCTTTAAGGAATTGACCTTGCAGAATCAATATTTAACAGAACACAAAAATTCTTCCTCTCCTCCCAAGGTAAAACACCGTGCTGTGAACACATCCAGGATATTCACCAATGAAAATCCCGTGTTCACCTTGGTATCTTACCTTTTTACCAGCCACAGCTGTGGACACAACTAAACAAGTGCATAACCAAATGCACACTGATAAGACACACATGCATGTATTAACCTGTGACTCCTGTTTTAGGATAAAGGAACTGGAAGAACTCCTCAGGGATCAAGCCATGCCGTACTTCTCCTCCCTTCTCAGGCAAAGGAGGCACCGGAGCCGAACGCTGCTGACTGGTATGAATCGGCCTCACAACATGCAGCACGCTATAAATAACAACAGCTCCTGTTAAGCTTCTTACTTTACAAAAACCACCGCGAAACACATTTCCAGTTACAAAGCCAGACACAACCGAGCTACGTTTGCTTTGGGGAAGGGTCTCAGGATCGAGACAACCCCCTGCGGCTCCTCGCGGCCTTTGCCCTTCCCTACCCTTGCGGCCTTGCTTACAGACACAGGGACAGAACCGCGCTGCGCTGCCTCAACCCAGGCGGCGATCCCAGACCCCAGCCCCGTGCTGGGCCGCCCCCAGCCCCCGGTACTCACCCCACGGAGGCGGCGGGCCGCAGGCTCCTCAGCAGGGCTGGGGCTGCAGGGGGAGAAAGGAGAGCGTTCAGTCAGCACCAGCGGAACCCCCCTGGACCCACTTTATCCCTCTGTTACCCCCCGTTACCCCTCACTCACCGGCGCTGAGGACGAGGCGGGACAACATGGCGCCGGGCCGACGACCGCTGCGTCCCGGTGACCGGCGGCCGCCTCAGCCCCCAAGATGGCGGCGCGGAGCTCTCGCGATACCGAGGCGGGTTCCTCTCGCGAGAGGAAGCGGCGGCGGCGGCGCGCGCGCGGGGCGCGGGAACACGTGGGGGCGGCGGGGCCATGGCGGAGCCGGGGCCGGGGCCGGAGCGGGGCCCGGCCGGGCACGGGGCCGCCCCCGGAGCCCCCCGCGGGCGGGGAGCAGCAGCAGCAGCATGGGGAGCAGCACCATGAGGAGCAGCAGGAGGCGGCCGGCCCCGAGTGGAACATCCCGCCTAACGCGCCCGCCTGCATGGAGCGGCACCTGGACGGCGCGCACTACCGGGCAGGTGGGCGGCGGGGGGGTGGGGGGGGGCACCGGGAATGGGATCGGGACCGGGAATGGGATCGGGAATAGGAGCGGGGGGTGCTGAAGCCGCTTCTCCCGCAGACGGAGCCCTGCTGCTGGGAGCCTCGGGGCTGAGCGGCCGCTGCTGGGCCGGCTCCATCTGGGTGTTCGCCGACCCCCGGCGGGCCCCCAGCGAGGGTTTCTGCACCGCCGGCGTCCAGACTGAGGCGGGGGTCGCCGACCTGCGCTGGGTGGCCGACAGGGGCATCCTGGTGGCCTCCGACTCCGGTAAGACCCTGGGGGCGTCCCCCCTTTTCCTCCCCTTTACCCCGCCGGTGGCCCCCCGGTGAGGTGGGGGCTGCCCCTGTGCCCCCCCTGTACCCCCCCTGTACCCCTCTGTGCCCCCCCTGTGCCCCCCAGGCGCCGTGGAGCTGTGGGAGCTGGACGAGAACGAGACCCTGATCGTCAACAAGTTCTGCAAGTACGAGCACGACGACATGGTGACGACGGTGGCCGTGCTCGCCGGCAGCACCCAGGCGGTCAGCGGCGGGCAGGATTTCTGGTGAGTGCCCCCCGCAGCCCCCTCCCTGCCCCTCAGCGGGCGGCGGTGCCGGGCTCTGACCGCTGCTCTCGTCCGCAGTGTGAAAGTCTGGGACCTCCCGCAGCAGGCGGTGCTGCACTCCTACAGAGGTGAGTGCCGGCTCCTCGTGGTCCCGTCCCCGGGGCCAAGCCACGCTTGGTGCCGCCACCTCGGGTGAAGCAGGCTGTGGAGTTCCCAGCACAGGCACATTTCCTTCTCTTGTTCTTTTCTCCCTGCCAAAGCTGTGCTGTGAGACTCGTTTGTCTGCATCTCCAAGTGTGTTCTAGAATCTCTCTTCTATACTGAAATCTTCTTCTTGCACCTGCTCACGTGATTAAAGCCGTGTTGTTTTGAACTCCAGCTCGCCAGAGAATACAGATCTCTGGAGGTGTCATACTGTGATCTCCGGTGCCAGTGGATGCTGTGTTTTGTCCATTTGGCCTCCTTCCCCAAACCCTTTGTAACTGGCCTCTTGACTGGAGAGGCTTCAAGCTCGTTCCTGTCACAGGGATGGAACTGCGGTGGCTGTGGTTGGGTTTGGCAGCTCATCGGTTTGCTAGGGAGTAACTTGGGATGCTCAGTAACTCAGGATATCACTGACTAGAAGTTATCCTGGATCTGGGCATAAACCATTACACCACTGTGCCTTCAGAGAGCCTCGTTCCCTTGTCTGTGTTCTGTGATGGGGCGCTGGGAATATGTGGAAAGTCTGGGTACAGTCTTTGAGGCTCTTTATCCTTCTGTGCTTTTGGTAGCTCACTCCGATGCAGTGACATGTGTGGCTTCCTGTCCTGGTAAGGACACTGTGTTCCTGTCCTGTGCTGAGGTAAAGCTAACTCTGCATGAATCTACCTGATAAAAATGAGATTTAACTTTAAATTATTTGCAGTCAAATGCGCTTATTGAAAAACCACCTGTTGTGTTCTAAGCTATTTCCGTGTGTTGTTTAAATGTTCCAGTGGTTGCACTGAGCGGATCTGTACAGGTTTGTATTAAAATGTGGGCGTTCCTAGCTCTGTCCTGGGGATGATTGAAGGAGCTAACTTGATGTTAATGTCAGCATCGTTTTAAATGTGGGAAGAGACAGTGTGGGTTTGGGTGTGGGTCAGTAGCAGTACTGCAATGAATCTGGCTTTATGCCCACCCCCTGCTGCAAAACCATTGTAAAAACCTTATTTGCTTTGAATTTATAGGATGGCAGAACGTTACTCTGGGACACCAGATGCCCCAAACCAGCTACTCGAATTGGTATGTTTCTGAATGCAGTCACTGCTTGTGTGTGTTTGTTGGGTTTTGTTTGTTTTTTTTTTTTTTTTTTTGTGAAGAAATAAATTATTTTATGCCTAAGTTCTCCGCCTAACTTCAATCTAGTGACCTGACTACTTGGGTCACAGAAGCCTAGTAAGCCTTAAGGATATCTAACACTATCACAGGAGTAAAGTCAGCTTCTAAATAATTCTTAGTGCAGTAGCAGCCCTAACTGGGATAGGGTAGGAATGTCTTTGTACTGACTGCTCTCTTTACACTTACCCTCCTTAACTTACAGTTTGCAGTGCCTGTAATTACCTCCCTACCTCAGTCCTGTGGCATCCACAGAAAAGCGACATCTTTGCTTTGGGTAAGAAGTGATCTTTAGCTTTCACCAGACAAATCAAGGTCTGCCTTTTCAGGACAGCTTTGCTAATAACCTCATTCTCCCTTTCTCTTTTAAAGGTGATGAAAATGGAACAGTTGCACTAGTAGACACAAAGAATCCTGATTCTGCCCTCAGCTCCACTGTGCATGCCCGACGTATCACGGGGTTTGCATTTTCTACACATAGGTACGGGCTGAGATACCGGTGTAGCGCGTGTGACTACATACCCTTGAAAGCCATATTGTTTTTTAGAGTAAAACATAGGGAAGTATTAGATTTGGTCATTTTACAGAGGATGATTAGTAGTAAAGAACAGAGTAAGCTGAATAACGTCTGGTTTTGGAGATGTGTGAACGTACGTTTTTGTAGCATTTGGAATTGGCCAATTCACCGTAGGGATTTTTCTTACTCCACTCACCTCACCTTGAGGAGCTTGCTTGCTTGCTGACGCTAATAGCACGTTGTTGCATAGTGTACTGACAACCCGACAAAAAAAATTCATAAGATTTGGTGTCTGTTAATTCAGTTTACCTGGGTCTAGCTTGCTAAGACACGTACTTCTCACACATCTTTCCTTACAGCTTTCTTGTATTTGATTGTTCTGACTGTGTCTCATCTCTATCCTCTAGTTCACCCTTACTGGCTTCAATTAGTGAAGATTGTTCAGTAGCTGTTCTGGACTCAGACCTTTCAGAGGTGTAAGTACCCAAAGGGGCGTATTCACCGTGGTTGTTTGTCATGCTGATTTCTCATTAAATTAATTGTTTATATGCTGAAGGGAAGATGAAAAGAGTCCTTAAACTGGGGAGCATCATCCTAACAAACTAGCAGTTAGGAAGTGCACAAGCCCATAAATTCTTAGTGACAGTGCTTTATGGCTAATAGAGTGTTCGTGTTTTCCAGGTTCAGAAACCGTTCTCATCGAGACTTTGTAAAAGGCTTATCGTGGTCTCCTTCAGATAATGCCTTGCTCACTACAGTTGGATGGGATCATCAGGTTTTACATCACACTGTCCCCATACCAACTGGTGAAGCTTCTGGAGTCAACTGTGTAAAAGAATAGTTTTATAAACTCATCGGTCCAAATTCCTTCCTCGCATTACTTTGATTCCCCTGAAGTCAAAGGTGTTTGTGAACTGGATTGGTTACGGACTGGTGTCTGCCTCGAAGCTTGTGACTAAGAAGGTTTTTGTAGTAATTTTGAATTAGGCATAACTTAGTTACAAACCAGCCTTTACCCTCTCCTCAGGAGTTGGCTTCACCTGTGATAAGACTTCAGTATTTTACCCAGAAAAAAATAGTGACTTCAGGCACAAAGGAGTTTTGGAGATAGGATTAGGTATAATAAAATTAAATCAAAAAGACTTGATTCCTCCCTTGGTTCTTCAAGCTACCCACTGAACTAATAGAAACAAATTATTTGGGGAGGTTTAAAAAAAAAAAAAAAAACACAAACCCACACCTCTTTACTAAGGTAGATGCAGAAGCCTTACCTGAGCAAAGTGTTTGCTGCGTAAATACTTCCTTCCAACTGAGCAGGAAGACGTGTTGGCATTTAAGGCCAGAAAGGTTCCCCTGTTGTCCTTAGTGCAGCACGCAGTGCAGAAGGCTGGCTTTTGCTATCTACTATTGTGGATACTCCCATGGTGAGCACTATTTGTGTACTTCTCCATTAGTATCAGAATACCAGTGCTTGGTGTGACGAGTCGCGTACGCTGTATGACAAGGATCCCAGCTGCAGCCCTATAATTAAACAGCTTTGTGATGGTGCATGACATGCTGAAATACCAGGACCTGTAAATGCTCAGCCATTGGCTTGAAGCTGAGGCCAGCCCACAGGGGCTGTTGTGTAGCATGCTGAAAGCCAAGAGAAGTTAGTAGCTTGACACCATGTTTCAGCTCCTCTGCTGAATGCAACATAGTCAAAGATAAGACTTGTGAACAAAAAGTTATGTAAGGGAGAAAACTGGACTAAGGATTTCAGTCTTCATTTGCTTGCTCCTGTAATCAAACTTGGTGATAAACGAGACTCCTCATGCACTTGCAGTTAGTGACTTTTTTTTCTGGAGACTTGAGAGGATGAAACATTCCTGTAATCCCCTGAGATGGACTCCACATAATCCTTAGAGGTGTTTTTTTTTTTTGGTTTTTGGTTTTTGTTTTTTTTTTGGTAATATAACCCATCTTCCAAACTAAACTGTTTCCCTGGAACATATTTAACTGAAAATAAATCGCTTTGCTCTACACACATTGCTACTGTTCTAGCTGTGGCTTGCTCCAGACTAATACTTGCTAGACAGACAGAAGTGGGTCTTGGCTAATGAAATAACAAATACTGTTACAATAATGCTACTTTAGAATGATAGTGACACTAAACTGTAAATGGGCTCATCTCTCCATAAACCTTTACTTTTGTTGATCCAAATCATGCAGAGCCCATCATTAACTTTTAGGCCAAATAAGCTTTCTCATTCTCTGTACTTTTTCTCCTTTTAAGCTTACTTTGCTCCTTTTTGAGTTCCACTGTCATAACTGTTACAGAGCAAACTTTCTGATCTAGAGCACTGTATTGTAAGGAAAAGATAAATGGTTATGAAAACTGACAAGTTCCCTCAAAACTATCCCTTAAACAAGCTAAGCAAAGTTGACAAGAAAAAGTTACACCTGTTGCAGATCTCTGATTGTGTATTAAAACCTGAAACAGGTCTTGTGCTGGTTGTGAAAAAGGTGTCTTTGAGAACAATGGAAGAGTTTTAAAATAAATCATAGTGTTCATTAATAACTGCCTATAAGTTTCACTGGGCCACTTCCATAATATTGAAGAGCTAGCTGAGCTCACTGATACAGCTGAAGTGATTTCAGCCCTGAAGCTGCAACCGTTCTTAAACAAACATGCACCACGTTGCTATTTAATGCAAGTAGTGTTTCCATGGTGTACGGCTAAAAGAAACAAGTTCCCAGTATCAAGTGCTTCAGCATCCTGCAAATCTGGGTGAAGCTTTGTGTTCTGCCACGGGAGGGCAGCAGCTGCCAGCATGACAGTAGTCAAAAGTTTGCATCTTCCTTTAGAGCATTACCCATTTTACCACTTGTCTTTTTCACCATGTTAAGAGAAGCACGGAAGAGCAACAGTTTATCTAGCAGTCACCAACCTGCTGTGTTAGCTTAGCAAGGGTATAATCACGAGGAGCCAGCGAGGCCATGTTAAATAGTCCCACCAGCATGCAGGCAGCACAGCAGAAACACTTTGACACCACCACATCAATGCTTGTTGACTTGTAAACTATCTGCAAAGGAATTGGAGAATTCTGTGGGTTTTGTGGTATGCTAACACTGCCCAGGCCACTTTACACACCGTTCAGGTTTAGGGACACTAATACTTTGTGGCCACAGTAAAAGCTTCAAGATACATCGCACGCTTCCCTAATGAAGAACCTTGTTCTGTAGCCAGGCCTGGATTAAAGAGATGAGAATGCAAATAAACAATTTGGAGGAGTGGAGAGAGTAAGCCACTATGAAGGCAAGCCTGCCTTTTATGTTGGTGCTTGCATTACTCACGCTGCATTTTCAATTTTAAGTACAACGTTCTAGTTAGGACTTGCAAATAAATATGCAAGTTGCGTTACTAATGAAAAGTTCAAAACCAAGGATGCTATTTATAGAAGCACAGGTTGAAGTGTAAAAGCTCTCAGCCTGCCTAACCAGCTGGATGCGAGGGGTGTTTCCAAAGCAAAGGGGCAGCTAGGGCTAGCTGCCTGTTCCTTCCTTGATCTGGCTTCTGGAAACACTTAAATTGCCACAGTGCTTATCAGCTGCTAAGTAGGAACTGGACAAAGCCCTAGGTAAGGTGAAATTCAGACTGTTACTGAGGCCAATTTGAGACTTCTTCCTGTCCTGTTAAGCCTACACACAAAAATCTCAATAGTAGATGGACAACAGAATACTAAAAAGAGTCAGACTGCATGTAATAAAACAATACATCCAGACATATTTAATGCAAGAAGGTTAGTTTTCAATGGCACTCATAAATAAGAGACTTTGTTCAAAGGCTTTACAAGTAAAGCTATCAGTTATGCTACATTAGCAGGTACTTTGAGGAGAAGACGGCTGTAGGGGATGATTTATGTGGTATCAAGACTTGAATGACCAAACTCGGGAGAGAGTTGAAGTGTTAAGAACTCCATTGTCAGGTGTCAAGATAATTTCTAGTGCTACGGCTGGTCTGTAAGGTAGGTTGCTGTGCTCTGTTAATACCCCTCACTTCACTCCTCCTCTATTGCTAAGTTTTCATAGTGAAACAGCTGGGGGAGAAGGAGGAGAAACAGGAATGGTACTTGGTACAGCACATAGATCACCTGGGCAAGCAAGAGGGAGCTCTTCCCCGTTCTGGCAGAGTTACAGATTTAACTTAACACTTCTGAAAGTTCTTTGGCTGTCAACAGCCCTGACAGTGATTTCTTTGTAACCTGAACAGTTCCCAGTGGCCTTGGCCTGTCTAGTTGTTACTGAAACTCTAGTATTTTCCTAATGCACTCAAAAGCAGCAGGGATAGCCCAAAGTGTCTGAAGAATGGAATAGTTTCACTGCTTCAGACATTCTGGTTAACCAGTTTTACAACTGTGAACAGTCCTGCCTGATTTCATTACAGCTTAGCCTACCATGCATTCCCAGAATGGGTGTTCTTTGAATGAATAATGGCTAGTACATAAAACTGACTTACATTCTCAGGCTTCTACTATTTAATATAAACAAATACACAGCTACCAGAAACAAGACATTCCACACTGTGTAACACCGTGCCTATTACGACTACATAGGAATTGTATGTGTGGGTGAAATAGTAAACATGAAATTCAAAGTTAAGTGACAACATTGGAGTTTCACATTTTGCTCTGGGGAAAAAAAAAAAAATTGCTGGGGCTATGTTCAGATTTAGGAAAGTTTGTAAGAGGGGGAAGATTGTCCAGAGACTGTGTGAATTTAATATAGACCAAAGTCTCCCAACAACTGTTTACATTTAAACTAATTTTAGGAATCAATTTTGCAGTTGTAACTCCTCATTGTGCAAACCTCTAGATCAGGTTGCAGTATTATCAGCGAAGCTTTGTTTTAGGTGAAAGTGGTGAAATTCCATCCGATAGTAAAACACAGCCCTGAAGCTATGCAAACATGATCACGGCTCCACTTCCATAGATAAAGAAGAATTCTCAAGATGCTCCTCACATGGGAAACTTCCTCACCGGGAAGGGGGGAGGAGGGCAAATGGCTATTCTGCATGACACTGGTACACTTAAACACCCAGGTGGCTACTCCATAGTTCCTTTTCTTCACAAGTGAACATCCAGTTATTTAAACTGTGTTATTTCGGTACCAGCTGGAGTGAGCACGTCTGGAAATATTCCTAGTCACTGTGACTTACTGGCATAACAACATCCTATGAATTAGCTATTAGACTTATTACGGTATTTGTGTTCTCATTTTATTCACAGCAAAGTAAAGTTCAGAATACTTTGAAGCCTCTGCAATATTTGAAACAGCTGTTAAATTATTAGGTAGAGTTGGGAATAATATAAAACAAATGTCAACAAGGTGACATTAATGAAGATAACTGTTTTGAAAATTGCACTGAGGGAAAAATATATCATTGAGTTTTGAGTCAAATTGTAGAGCAAAATCTGCTTGCAACACAATGCAAGGTAAGCTTGAGTGGAACTAATGATACTGTGTAATATTGAGAATAGAAAGTGCTTTCAATAAAAGTAGACTAATGTCTCAAAGTGCTTTTAGTTTATCAGTGATTAGAAAATACTCTCTACAAGTTTTTTACACCTATCTTACAGTGATTTTCAGCAAGTTTACCTATGAGGAAGATGTATTTGTTCCTAAGTTCCGGAGGTTAGCTATTCAAAACCTGGTCAGTTACAGCGAGCGCATTGCCCTCTGAAGCGTGAGATACCTTTTCAGACTATTCTATCCCATGGCACAGCATGGCCATCGCTAGCTCCTCCAGACAGATCCGCAGAAGCAGACAGGCTTGCACGCACACTCAACACCCAGACAAGTGTTCACAATGTGCTAATGGGAATAGCTGGAGACAGGTCCCTCAGGTATGTCACTGGAGACATTTCACACCCAGGAGTGTCAAATACTTTACAACTACCCAAATTTAGCTTATCAGTCCCCGAAATCAAACAAAGCCAAGCCTCAGTTTATAAGAACTAAGTGGCTTAGCTTGTAGAGGTGGGGTTTATGTGGGTATTACGCGGCAAAGTAATCCTGGAAGAAAGCCCCATCGGTACCATTCTGTTGAGTCACTAATACCCACCACCTCTGACAAAGGAAAAGAATTGCTGAATGTCTTGTATTGCCGGAGTGCTTTACAGCCATCCAGTCCGGCCTCAGCCTTCCACGATGACTAATTAGCAACAGAAACATTTGCAGTGACCAAAAGGAACAGGAAAGCAAGGCCCCACACTCCCAAAGCTGCTGACCCCTGTGGTCACACCCAGGGGAAGGGGGCTCAGACCTTTGTGGAGCTGCTGAGCCCAGCTCCTGGGGATAGGCACAGAGAGCCGTGACCTGTTTTTAAGGCACCAAGCTGTTTTTAAGGCACCGGTATAACTGATTTGCTTAAGGCTATTGAGGGAGGTGGTGATCTAGTCATCCTAAACTATTTCTATCCAATTGACCTCACATTCTTATTTTAATTCCCCTAAATTTAGATATACAGCAGCTTGCTTCCATTATGTCTATCTCCCAGTTGTTTTCTCCCCACTCCCAAGCACATTGCATTTAAACCAATTAAAAAAACAAAACTGAAAACAGTCTCTCCAGTGGTGATGCTCTTTAAAGAGAACTAAGACTCTTTAGGCCCTTTCACTTTCTTAGAAGACCTAACAAGCTGCAATTCTGAAAATAATACCGGGAGAATGGGAAGAGAAGGAAAAACACGTTTGCTCACGAACAGCAGCCGGTCCTCTGTAGTAACTACTCTCCATGACAGTCTTTTGAGAAGAGTTCAAGTCCCAGATTTGCTCTCTGCCTTCACCCTCTGTAGTTTCAAGCAGTGCATTCATTTGCTGGCTGGGTTGGGACTGTCCCTGGTGCCCAGGGTGGTGAGCCACTGAGGCACCTCTTCATCTCTTGCCAGCTGAAGGACGAAGGTGGCAGAGCAGCCCCACGGACAAGCCTACCGGTGACCACTCTGGTAGGCGTAGGAGATAGGCTGCCGTGTCCCGGGTCTGACCGTGAAGGTGTTGGTGGGTCCACTGTACTGTGAGCTGCCGTGGGCAGGTCTGGAGGGAAGACAACAGGGAAAGTCACTGAAAGCCAAGGAAATCCCACATATAGCTGTGCTTTTCTATCAGAGCAGGAAGACTTGCATTCTCCCCTGCAAGCAGCCCCCCAGTAGCCCCTCACCCACGTCTGTGTTTGCTTGTGATAGGCACGGCCACCGTGCTGCCATTACATCCCCACCACGGAGCTGGTGGAGCAAGAGCCACTTGCAAAGCTCTTTTCTCCACTGCTTGTGGTGGGTGACCCAAGGTGGTGCTTTCATGCCAATTTCCCTAGGGTCTTTGTAACAGCCACGGAACAAGACCAAAGCCATCCTTTGGTCCTGGTCCAGGGCTGTTACAACAACCCACGCTGCCCAGCCACACCACACAAGCCATCCAAGCACCATCGGTAGGCCAGCTCAGGGAGGCACCTACCTGCCAGCTGCCGAGAAATCCCCATTCTGTGCCTTGTACTTGGTGTCAGCACCGCCGTACGGCCCGGCTTTCCCAGCCGAATCGATGGATGTCCGCCTGCCCTGCGTGCTGGCGGGGCCATTCCGGTGGGCAGAGCCCAGGCGGCGAGCCCCCTCCCCAGCCGAGGAGCTGTATGCCCCAGGGCCGTAGGATGAGAGAGCGCCCGCACCCCGGGCAGCTGCCCTGGGGTAGGAGCGTTCAGGCTCCGAGACGTAGAGCCGCTTTTTGATGAGCGGGCGGCTGTTTGGACCACGGCCGAAGTAGCCAGCAGAGCCACCGTAATCTGGATAGTGGGGCGTCAGGTCGCTGTTCCTCCTGCTCTGCTCCACGGGCTCCTGTCTGTTCCCGTAGTTGTAGCCACGGCCGTAGCCAGGCCACCTGAAGTACCGTGGTGCCTCCGAGCCCCGGCTGCAGTCGGGGAAGCTGGGGCACTTGCGGTTCCCCTCCCGGCTCTGGGGGATCCCGTCAGCCTCATCCACCTCGTTGCTGAACTCGGGGGGTGGCGGGATGATGGCGTAGTCCAGCGTCATCTCCCCGTTCTTCTCCTCCACCTCGTCATCCCTGGGCATGGCAGAGCGGGGAGGCTCGGGGCGTTTCGGCTGACCTGACTCCAGGAGGCCCCGCAGCAGGCTGGAGGCAGTGGCCCGCTGGTGCCCGGGGGGCTGCCCCTCGCCCACCACCCGTCCCTGCTCTGAGGAGCTGGAGAAGGAGTGCGGCTTGCTCTGTCCTGTCCCTGACAGGGGCCGGGGCACCACGGTGAAGGAGTAGGGCTTGGACTCGTGGCGGTAGAAGCTGGTGGTGGAGGTGGTGTCCGACGCGGCACTGCCGAGTTTTGGGGGTGGCTTTGCCCGCGGTGGGCCCCCCGCCTCACTGCCCAGCTGCCCCCGCTGCGCACGCTGCCGGGCTGCCAGCAGCAGCGCCATGGGGGAGCCCCGCTCCACCCGCTCACCCGTCACGGGGTGGATCAGCACCTCCTCCTCCCCCGAGCCTGAGGCTCCCGGGGGGCTGCTGGATGAGTTTTTGGGGCAGGGAGGCTCGGCCGAGCCAGCCCCAGCCCGGTGCACTTTGTACTGGAAGATGGCAGCGCCAGGCTGCGGGGCTAGGGAGATGGGGGGCGATGGGGGAGTGGGAGCAGGGGGCTCCTCCTCTGGCTTCTGAGGCAGCTCTGGGGCACTCACACTGCTGTCAGGGGACTGGGGAGCAGTGGTCGAGCTCTCCGTGGCCTTGTCAGCAGCAGGGGTGACAGGAACGGGATGTTCCTCCTGCCTGGTTGGCTCCTCGGCAGCAGCCACCACCGGTGCTGGGAGCAGGCTCGGGGCTGGGAGCAGGCTTGGGGCTGGTTTTGGCAGCACGGCATCACCCAGGTCAGGGGGACTCAACCGCAAACGTGGGGTGCTGCCCCCATCCTCAGGGCCCTGCTTCTGGCCAGCAAGCCCCAGGGCAGGCTTTCTTTCTTTCTTCAGGGAGAACACTGCTTCCAGCTCATTCCTGATTTTCATCACGCTGCGGGGCTGCACGGCCGAGTTGCTCTCGGGAGCTGGTTGTGCCTCACCGGGGGGGCTGCCCATGGCACTGGGGGGGCTGCCGGGCCCCTCCTTCCTCTCCTTCTCCCCTCCCGTGGGTAATGGCGAGGCCTTCCTGGGAGGCTCGGTGAGCTGGGGCCCATTGGGGCCAGGCACATGGTTGCCAGCATTGTTGGTGCTGCCGCCTGCGGGCCGGGGAGCTGCTGGCACCTCCGTCTGCCTCTCCTCCCTCCTGGGGGAGCGCAGCAGGGCCGAGAGCTCGTGCTGCAGCCTGCTCAGGTTGCCGGCATCCTTCCAGCTGTCCTCAGAGGTCGGGTAATCCGGAGGAGGCAGCTCCAGGTCATTCGCAGTGAGAACTTCAGGTTTCGGAGGAGAGTCTTTGTTGGCAGTTTTTGGCTGGGGACTCTTCTCTGACTCTGAGCTGGGCAGCGGGGACCGGCCGATGATCTCTGGACCTGGCTTGGGGCTCAGCGGTGGAGGGGTCGGCACAGCCATCTTGGTGAGGGGCTGTCTCAGCGGGGGATTTCTCTCCTTGGCTTCTCCTGCGTGAGCTTTGGCTGCGGGTCTTATGGTGAAGCATGGCGGGAGGGGAGGCCGGGCGTGGGGCTGCCTGGAGAAGGGCTCCTGACGGGCAGGCTGGTTCTCCTGCACGGGGATGGAGGAGGACCGTGCCGGGGCCGGAGGAGGCACCTTGAAGGACCTTGGGAAGGTGAGATGGGGCTCGGGGCACTGCTTGGGGGGCTGCAGGCTCTCCTTCGGGCTGGGGGCAGCCGGCACCTGGACTTCAGTGGTGTGGAGTGGTCCCTCGGCGTCCGCCTGCCTCGTGTTCAGCACAGTCTCAGACTTCCACTTGGAGATGCCATTGGTGAAGGGCACGGGGGCCTTGGAGAGCGGTGGGGCTGGTGGGATGAAGTCTGGAGGGGACAGCATGCCAGGGGAGGACAGGGTGGAGGCTGGGGGTGGTGGAGGTGCCATGGCAGGAGGTGGCGGCACCGTCTCGGGCAGTGGCAGCGGTGGTGAAGGCGGCCGCATTTCAGGCGGCTGTAGGGCTGGTGAGGCTAGAAGCGGTGGCGAGGGGGCCCGTGCTGTTGGCGGGGGCGGAGGGGGTACTGATGGTGGTGGAGGGATGTCTTCATCCAGCTCATCCCCGTCAAGAGCCTGCGGGCGCAGGTCCCCCACCGAGCTGTACATTCGGTAGTTCCCATTGATCTGGGAGCCAGGGCCTGCAAGGAAGAGCAAGAGCACGGTGGCATGAACACCTTCTCCGTCAGCACCACGAAGCCCAGAATTGCCTCTGGCCAGTCACCCTCCTAGTAAGCCGGTTTATTTTGCTCAACAGCTGTCTGAAGCTTGCTCAACTCTAACAGCCACTATGCCTCACCCCATAGAAATGAATTCATTTTCAAGAACTTCAAAAAGTTATTAATAGCAGGCTTGATTCTAGCATTAAAAATCTCATGACCAGACTGTCTGTTCCAGAGAGTGGTATATGCACGCTTCCTTCACAGGATTCCCCGAGCCCAAGGGCAGGGCACTGCTGAACGTATCTTCTCTTAACAGAGAAGATCCCTTACCAAGAGCTGCTTTTTCTTCAAAGTCTTCTGGCACTGACGGCGTTGGCACAGCCACCCCGTGGGATTCCTGGGCATTCTGCAATAGTTGAGAAAATGGAGCTGTTAGTTTGATGCCCAGGGTATTAGAACAAAGGGCAGTAGGATGCGTGGCTGGTAATTCATCTCAGCAAACAGGAGCCTGACGGGATGCAGTGCCATTTCCTAGACACGAGGTACTGCAATGGCTGCTGTTGACACTGTTCAAGGGGACAAGGAAAGCAATAAAGGTTGCACAAACCACAGGGACACAATTCCCCACGCTGGTCAGGTACAGACAGGCTGTACAGGAGGACGGCTGTTTCACATCCAAGCCTAGAGCCCCACAGCGTGGGATCAGCAGGATTAGTTTCTCACCATTCACAGACCAAGCCAATTTTAATAGCTCCCACTGGTTTTGTGGGTATTACTCTCCAGCAAGCACTGACAGCCTCTGCCACAGTCACGTACACACCACAGTCACTGAAGTTGCAGAAAGGCTCCCAGGTTTTTGGGAAACTCTGGCACCAGCATATCTGAACAGTCTGGGGAAAACTGCTACTTGTGTGGTTTGTTTCACTCTCAATTACTCCCTTAGCATTCAGGCTGAAAATTCAGCAGTGCATTTAGCTGGTAGAGGACCATGCAATTTAGCAGCCTACACATTTGTGAGGATGCTTACAGCTAGGGCAGTTTAGATAATTATAACCACCCACTGTGAGATATTCAAGGCATGTTGACTCACCTAGAGTGCTGACCAGGGCTCCTGCCTCATACACCTGCCAAAAGCAGAAAGCCTCTCCTCTTTCCTCCAGTGACTCACTGCTGAGATTGCTCCGCAGAGGGATTGGAGCTGCTCACGAAACGTACACTAACGCGCCCACGTCCAAAACACAAACTGATGCTGAATCAGGCTGTCAGCACAGACGTAAGTGACCGAAGCAGTTGACTGGGCTTTCACATACCAGCGATGGGAGAGACCATAGTGAGGAAATATGAGGAGCTCCCAGGCCCCTGGGCAGCAGTCAGGGACACACCGTTCAGCGTTGGCTCCGTCCTCGCAGGGCCAGCCCTGTTGCACTGCTCCTCACCCCAGGCAGCTGTTTGCATTAGCTGTTAACAGCCCGTTGTGCAAAGGAAACATCCTACAGTCAGTCTGCACCACGGCTGTGCGCTGGTTTTCTGTACACAAAAGCCTAGATAATAATCAAGCCGGTGCCCTTTGCCTTTCACTGGTATTAGCACTATTTTTACAGGAGATTGCTGTAGGACTCCAAAGTCTCCTTGATCAAAGGTTAAGCTCAGTGTATCCAGCACGTTAACATTACACACTGCACTGGGTGTAAGGAGTTCAGGAACGTGAGAGCTGCTGGGGCAGGGCTGACTTTAGAAGCAGCAGCAGCAGCCAGAGTTCCTTCAGAAGGGCGCTGGGACCCCCCTACCCACTACCATCCAGCAAAATAAGAAGAAAATACACGTGCTTTGCTTGCAAAGCCTAGCAGCTTGCAGATTACCAAAGATCCTCTATAACCACAAGTGAGTGAGCCAGTTATAGATCAGCCTGGAGAGAGTGAATGGGAACGCACAGCTCACGGGATTGCACAACTGACCAGGCAACTTCACGTTGGTGGAGAAGCCAAGGTCTGCTAAAGCATAAGGACTGATCAGTTAGTGGCAAAATAAATGAGGTGAGCCTTACAACCTCATCTAAGACCTCCTTACTGTTCCTAAACACACAGAACGATGCAGGGGAGAGATCCTTAGGTTCAGCTGAAAGCCGGAGGGAAGATAAAGGGTAACAGAGGCACTTCAAGATCTGAGAATGAAATTGTCCAGTGCAATGAGATACCAAAGGCCACACAAAAAAAGCCCAGCAGTTTCCATTTGCTGTGAAAATTCATTGCTGCCAGTCTTGGGAGCACCCTGAGGATACCTGCTCATTTAGAGAGAAACAAAAACGTCTGAGCACTCATTTGACCTGAATTAAAATCAATGTATGCATCATACATTTGGATGGGAGTAGAAAAGGAACAGCAGACGGAAGAGTTCTATGCAAAATTGGAGGAAACAAAAGTCCACACGTCATAAATGAGTAGTTTTGGACATGTCATTTCAGCAGGTCCTACAAACCGGGCGAGCCTGTTTCACACTAAAAATTTCTGTTGCAGTTGCTAAAGCTCAGCATCTCAAAAAACCACCCATCTCCATGTCATAAGCTGGCTTCTAAAATGGAAAGCATCTCCAGTACGCTGCCAGCCTTGAGAGATGACCAGAAAGATTATTTTCCTCTTGTATGTTTGCTAGGGGCGCGACCAGCTCAGCAAAGCTCCAGCTGATTCAGAGCCGGCTGCTGCCTCTGGTGGGTGGTGCAGCAGGAACCTGCATTTCCAGTCGGCGGTGCTCAGATTGGATTTGGGTGTGCTGAGGATCCCGCTGGGGTGAGCTTTCACTGGGATGACCAGGAATCCCTGAAACAGATATCCCTTGCCCTCAGTGAAAGAGATTGCCTGTCCTTACCGTCCCCAGTCCTTCCCATGGACTTTCCCTGGAAGCCCACACTTCCCATACATTAAATGAGTTAGGGTTCGAGGCCATTCCTTAAAAAGGCACCAAAATATATCTGCCTTACATCTTGGGCATCTTAAAAAGGCCAAGCATTTCCCCAGATGTGGACAGCTACCTCCAAACTCTTTGTTTTGAAGCAGAGCCTGGGACATCTGGTGGTTAACCAAAGGAATTTAGTCCCGCAGGCTGCCAAAGCTCTGCCCTCACCTGCAGCTCTCAGGAAGCCACAGGGAATGGGGAAAGGGAAATGGGACGCTGTCCTCTGCCCAGGGGAAGGGGACACTGTCCTGAGGGACAGCCAGTGCAGCTCGCTGCTGGGGGCAGGCAGCAGAAGAGCTGCCAGGTGTCCATGGCCGAGGCACCGCATCGCCCTGGCTTGCACCCCCCATGCATGTGCCACAGCTGCCCCTTGCCGGGGAACACAGAGGGGTGGGATGGGAAGAAGGGGTTAAGGCAGGAGAACAGCCTGGTGGCTGCACTACAGCCCAGCGCCAAGACGGATGTGGCAGCAGAAGCGTCTGTGCCAAGACAAATCAGAATCAAACCTAATCAAAATAATGCAAATGTCCAGCACGGACTGGTCTTTAAAAAACGTGGCTTACACCTACTGATTTCCTCAGTTAAACACGGTACTTTTGGATAAGGAGCAGGGTGAGAGGAACCCTCAGAAGGGCCATTGTGGGGAACCCTGCTGCAGGCAGGCACCACTGCCAGGGTGACAGCCCTGAGTACTTATTCCATTTGTGCTGTTCGGTCCAGAACCACATTCATTTCCACCAGTAAAATATTTGGAAGCTCTGAGAAGATGCCAGAACCCAGCTGTGCTCTGCAAAAACCCAGTCCCAACACGGTCACACACTGAAGTCAGCAATCCCAGGAGTTTCTCAGGCACCACTCCTACCCTGCCCAGCTCACACAGGATTTCTTTCACCTGCTGTTGTCTTTTGGAAGGCATCACAGAAGGCACAACCCCTTTGTGCCCATAACCTTTGTAACTTGCTAATTATGCACTCAAATTGATGTATAACCCCCACAATTGTCCTCCAAATGACACCTGCACAACCCCACGAACTGCTAATTGTAGCTGGCTGACAGCAGACCAGCCCATGTGCTGCTGTAGGTGATGACGGCTCTAAAAGGATGAGGATGTACAAGGAAAACATCCCCTGCTCAGAGAGGATTTACTTGTCAAGACAAAGGGATTTTAAGTGTTTTACTGTCTTCAGTGACCTGTGTGCATCACTTCAGGTTTAGCTGTTGCCCTTTCCAGAACGCCTCTGAGCAGTCATGCACTTCCCTGTGGTCTTCATGAGGTAAAACCTTCAGAAAGGTGAGTTCCACAGGAGAAAAGCTCGGCAGCAGAGCATTGAAGCCAGCAGCAAACACCTGTGGCTTTTGGAGGCAGCAGGGGGGGATCTCAGCTGGGTTAAAGACAGCTCCAGGTCCAGCTGTGTTGGTGCTCACTGCTGTGCTCTCCACGTCCAGCTGCTGCTGGTAGCTCTGCTCAGAGCTGTTTTGCCCACCCAGAGACTGGGAAAAACAGCCCAACAACCACGTAAAGGTTCACCAGCATGTCCTGATAACACAGGTGTGACAGCCGCCCACAGCTGCTCTGATGCAGAGAGCGAAACCTAGAAACCACGGCAGCAAACCCCCGTCCTGCTCCCACTCCCAGCCTCGCCCTCGGTGGAGCTCCACATCGCCCGCTCGCTGCCAGCGGCCGCCTTCGCCTCCTGGCGCGCGCTCGTGGTGCTTTGATGCTCGCCGTCAGAGCTCATCAGGTACGCGACCTCAACCACTGCAAGCTCAACAAACCACACACGAAGATGTTGTCTTGGGGTTAACTCCACCTGGCAAGGACTTGCAGATCTTTCCTCCCTGTCGGCCTCTGGAGAGTCGCAGAGGGAGCGACAGGGTCTCTGCAGAAGCCAAACTTCTTACAGAATAAGGAAAAAATGCAACCTCACCCACCCCTCAGTTCGCATGGTTGCTGAGCTTGTGATATTTGACATTTGTGCCTACTGTTTGCTATGAGACAGAGGAGACTCACAGGAGGGTGTTCTGTGTGTTGGACAGGATTTCCTGTAAAGTTTGTTAATGGAGAACTTACATTTTGAGGGTCCTAGAAAGGAGCAGGCAGTTAGGAGTCACTGTGCCAGGGGCTTTGGTCTCCCTGTGTTCAGAGGAATTGCAACAGAGCCAGAGAGTTGCTTTTCTACGTGCTTACATTTAACGCTCCCTGGTCTCCCACCAGAATGAAGTGTGTCTGGAGCTGGTGCAGGCAATCAGCCTCTGCACAGACACCTGCTGCATCGCCTCCTCGCTCCTATGCCAAAAACGTGACAGCTCTGCTATCGCTCCATCCAGCAGCACGCCTGATCCAGAGAAAGGCTGCCAATAGTGCTTACAAAAAATGCAGCGCGAGCCAGTTCTATCACCTACGTGCTCAGCGATATTTTTAATTGAAAATACAAGTCTGATAACACGTTTCTCACCCAAGTACCTCGCCTACATCCAGCACAAATCCTGAACTTGGATCACCTGTTAATCCCTTGTATCCACCATCATTACAGAGCGGTTTGGCTTTTCATTTATTTTCTTCCCCCAAGTAGAGGGTGAGAGAAGCAGCCAAACCAGCAGGCTCAGGGCACCAGCTACGAGCTCTGCCGTAACAAACCTCAGCAGTGAGCCTGGTACTCACCAGGGGTAAGAAAGTCAGCAGCGGCCGGACTCTCGGACGAGGCTTGAGTGTTGCTGTTCCAGAGTCGGTCATCGTCCCGAAGCGATTATCGCCATAATACACTTCGATCACATCACCTGAGGGGAAGAGAAGGCTGTCAGCAGCAGCACTGCGTTCGAGGCAATGGGGAAAAACAGTGCTGGACAACACCTTGTTTCAGCAAATCCTTCACAGCGCTTCCTATTTCAGGTCCCAAGAAATGTCAGATTGTGAGGGATATCTGGGTGTTTGGAGCCGAGCTGAGGACAGGGAGAGGCAGGTCCAGGGGTGCAGGACCCAGCCGGGCAGCCCTGGCAGCCTGCGACAGCAAGAGCCTTCCCGGAGCTCCCAATGCTGGCCTTGAAAGTGCACGGGGCAGGCCAAGTCCCTCTGAAAGGCTTATTGCTAATAGCAACTAACTTAAATTTACCTCAGGAGAGTCAGAAGTCAGTACAAGCATTCAATTCACTCCCCACTCAGGTTAGGTTTGGGGAAGGAAAACACTTTAGGAGCAAACAGATCAGCTCTTTACATGATGGTGAGGCTCCAGCCCCCAGGACCATGGCTGTCCAGAGACGACACAACAGCCTCTAAGTACGGGCAGGATTTTATTTAATTTATTTTGTCTCATTTGTCAGCAGATGGCACTGGGGGAAGGCCGAAGCCAGGAGCCCACACCAAACCAGGAGCTGCTGCCTGTGGGCAGAGCAGCTGCATCAAAGCACAGAGCTAATTACGGGTTCTTTGCTCGGCCCCATCACAACAGCACGACCCCGACACCTGCACAGAAGGGAGGGACAGCGGGTGTGAGCCCGAGCCTGGCTGCCCGCTGGCAGCAGCACTGTCCCTTGGGACTCAGGTGGATGACAATGTTTTGCTGGGACATCTCTGGGACACAGAGATGGACACGGGCTCCCCCAGAAAGTTTTCTTTCTGCCCCTTGTGTGTTTTTCTGCCAGCAGGACGGGTGCTGAGGGCAGTGGCAGGGAGATGCGGGGGACATCACATTGCCCGCAGCATCCTTCATGAAGCACCTAGATGATAACTTTTTGGTGCAGGTGCTAACGGAGCCAACTAGGAAAGGTGCCCTCCTAGACCTGTTGCTAGAAAACAGAGAGGGTCTGGTGGGAGATGTGGTGATTGGTGGTCGCCTCGGTC